TTGTGATTGCATTGGGGGTAAGGCTTGATTATGATCTCAATCTAGTGGGTAGCATTCAATGATGTTTATCTTATTATAATATTTGATGTTGAAGGTTATCATGGTGATTTCAGGCCATTAGAGACTAGATTAAGGTTCTAAGTTGATTTTCTAAATTCAATTGTATTATGTGCTACTTGATCATGTTTGAATCACTTAGATATGGGTTGAACTGGACATGATTGTTTAAGTTTGTATTGATTTAATTGAACCTTAAAGATGATGATGATGATGATGATGATGATGAAGAAGAAGAAGAAGAAGAAGAAGAAGAAGATGATGATGATGATGATCATGATGATAATGATGATGATAATGAAGAAGAAGAAGAAGAAGAAGAAGATCTTAGATTAAAGCTCTAATCTTAGTTATGTGAAGCTTATTCATTAATGGATTCTTCCATCGATGAATACCCCCTAGTTTACCTCAATTGTGAATCCAAGGAACCCCAATCTAGAGAGGGTTGTGATTGTATTGTGGGTAAGGCTTGATTGTCTCAATCTAGTGATAGCATTCAATGATGTTGATATGATGATTATGTTCTTTTTTTCATGAGGATTTAATGGAGAATTTTATTATTTGATGTTGAAGGTGATCTTGGTGATTTTATTTGTTTTCAGAGTTTATTTTCTTTATTCAATTGTATTTTATGCTACTTGATCATGTTTGAGTCACTTAGGTATGAGTTTAACAAGACTTGACTGATTAATATTGGTCTTGATTGTATTCAACCTTAAATATTATTATTATTATTATTCTTAATTTTATTATTATTATTATTATTATTAATAATAATAATAATAATAATAATAATAATAATAATAATAAGAAGAAGAAGAAGAAGAAGAAGAAGAAGAAAAAGAAGAAAAAGAGCTTGGATTAATGCTCAAAAATAAGGTATGTGAAAATTATTCATTCATGTATTCTTCCATCATTTAAGACCCCCTTGTTTCCGTCAACTGTGAATCCAAAGAATCCCAATCTATAGAGAGTTTTGATTGCATTGTCGGAAAGAAGAAGAAGAAAAATAAGAAGAAGCAGAAGAAGAAGAAAAGAAGATCTTGGATTAAGGCTCTAATCTAAGGTATGTGAAGCTTATTCGTTCATACCATCCATCATGACCCATTTGTTTCCTTCAATTCTGAATCCGAAGAACCCCATTCTAGAGAGGGTTATTATTTCATTGTGGGTAAGAAGAGGAAGAAGGAGAAAAAGAATAAGAAAAATAAGAAGAAGAAGAAGAAGAAGAAGAAGAAGAAGAAGTAGAAGAAGAAGAGCTTAGATTAAGGCTCTAATCTAAGGTATGTAAAGTTTATTCATTCATTGATTCTTCCATCCATGAAGATCCCCTTTTTTACATTAATTTTGAATCCAAAGAATCCCAATCTAGAGAGGGTTGTGATTGAATTTTTGGTAAGAGGAAGAAGATGAAAAAGTAGTAGAAGAAGAAGAAGAACAAGAAGAGCTTGGATTAAGGCTCAAATCTAAGGCATGTGAATATAATTCATTCATGAATATTTCCATACATGTTGACCCCTTTCTTTCCTTCAATTCTGAATCCAATGAAACCCAATCTAGAGAGTGTTATGATTTCATTGTGCGTAAGAGGAAGAAGAAGTAGAAAGAGTAGAAGAAGAAGAAGAAAAAGAAGAAGAAGAAGAAGATTATTGAAGAAGAAGAAGAAGAAGAAAAATAAGAAGATCTTTGATTAAGGCTCTGATCTAAGGTATGTAAAGTTTATTCATTCCTGGATTCTTCTATCCATGAAGACCCCCTTGTTTACTTCAATTGTGAATATAAAAAACCCCAATCTAGAGAGGGTTGTGATTGCATTGTTTGTAATAATAATATTAATAATATTAATAATATTAATAATAATAATAATAAGAAGAATATAGCTTCTATTAAACTTTTAATCGAAGTTATATGAATCTTATTCATTCATGGATTCTACTATCTGTGAAGACACCCTAGTTTCTTTCAATTGTGAATCCAAAGAACTCCAATCTAGAGAGGGTTTTGATTGCATTGTGGGTAAGGCTTTATTGTGATCTTAATTTAGTGGGTAGAATTCAATGATGTTTATATGATTATTATATGCTATTATAATTAGGTTTTAATGGATAATTGTAGTATTTAATGTTGAAGGATATCATAGTGATTTTAGTCAATTAGAGATTTGGTGAAGTTTCAAAGTTAATTTTCTTAATTCAATTATATTGTATGCTACTTGATCATATCTAAATAACCTAGGTATGAGTTTAACTAGACTTGATTGATTAAGATTTTTCCTGATATAATTGATCCTTAAAAAGAAGTAGAACAAGAAAAAGAAGAAGAAGAAGAAGAAGAAGAAGTAGAAGAAGAGCTTGGATTAAGGCTCAAATCTAATGTATGTGAAGATTATTCATTCATGTATTCTTCCATCACGGAAGACCCTCTATTTTTGGATAATCGTTAATCCGAAGAACCCTAATCTAGAGTGGGTTGTCATTGCACTGTGGGCAAGACTTTATTATTATGTTAATCTAGTGGGTAGCAATTAATAATGGTTATCTGATGATTATATGTTGTTTTAATTAGGTTTTCATGGAGCATTTTAGTATTTTTGTAGTAAGGGTGATCATGGTGATTTTAGGAAATTCGAGACTAGATGAAGGTTCTAAGGTTGTTTTCTTTATTAAATTGTAGTGAATGCTACTTGATCATGTTTAAATAACCTAGGTATCAGTTGAACTAGACTTCATTGATTTAGATTCTTCTTGATTGAGTTGAACCTTTATGATGATGATGTTGATGATGATGATCATGATGATAAAGCAGAAGAAGAAGAAGAAGAAGAAGAAGAAGAACATTGACTAAGGCTCTGATCTAAGATATGTGAATCTTATTAATTCATTGATTCTTCCATCCATGAAAACCCCCTAGTTTCGTTCAATTGTGAATACAAAGAACCTCAATCTAGAGAGGGTTGTGTTTGCATTGTGGGTAAGAATTGATTGTGATCTTAATCTAGTTGGTAGCATTCAATGATGTTTATTTGATGATTACATGCTTTGTATGAGGTTTTCATGGAGAATTGTAGTATTTGATGTTTGAGGTGATCATAGTGATTTTAGGCCATTAGAGACTAGATGAAGGTTCTAATTTGATTTTCTTAATTCAATTGTATTGTATGCTACTTAATCATGTTTGAAATATGTAGTAATGAGATGAACTAGGCTTGATTGATTAAGATTGGTATTGAATGAATTGAACCTTTAAGATGAAAGAGAAGAATAAGAAGAAAAAGAAGAAAAAGAAGAAGAAGAAAAAGAAGAAAAAGAAAAAGAACAAGAACAAGAACAAGAACAAGAACAATAAGAAGAAGAAGAAGAAGAAGAAGAGATTGGAGTAAAGCTATAATCTAAGGTATATGAAGTTTATTCATTCATGGATTCTTCCATCCATGAAGACCCCCTAGATTCCTTCAATTGTGAATCCAAAGAAGTCACATCTAGAGAGGGTTGTGATTGCATTGTGGGTAAGAAGAAAAAGAAAAAGAAGAAGAAGAATAAAAAGAAGAGCTTTGATTAAGGCTCTAATCAACGATATGTAAAGCTAATTCACGAATTCTTCCATTCATGAAGACCCCGTAGTTTTGATTAATTTTTAATCCAAAGAACCCCAATCTAGAGATAGTTTTGATTGCATTGTGGGTATGAAGAAGAAGAAGAACCCGCTATGTTCATAATGAGTTTTTCGTCATGTCCTTTAAGTTGACCAATACGCCTGCAACATTCATTGACATTATCAATACTGTTTTCATACCTTATGTAGATACATTTGTTATTATCTTCATGGATGACATACTAATCTATTTAAAAAATGAGAAAGATCGTGTTACTCATCTCAGAATGGTTCTTTAGACTTTGAAATATAAAGAGCTATTTGTTAAATTCTCTAAATGTGAGTGTTGGCTTGAGAATATGGTGTTCTTAGGCAACATTGTTTTTGGTAATAGTACTAGAGTTGATACCCAAACGATTGCGTAATACTCAAAAATTTCCATGACATAGCTAGAGAACCCTTGTTGAACAAAGCCTTAAAACACTATTTGTAATGCTAAATTAATGTATTCAACCTAATTCGGATGTTTTAGAGTTAAAAAGTCAAGAAATAACCACGACATTTGGAGACTAGTAAAAATGGAAGTAGTGTGCCTTCTTATGTTTCAAGGGGTTTAAAGAGTCGTATTGAAGTGAAATTTGGTGAAAAAATTCAGAATACATTAAATAGAGTGTTTAGAGTCGAATTGTCCTGGTACGACTCTCCAAGGACCATATTAATCAAGGACCCTACATTTTAACTCCAAAATTGCCTTTTTGCAATGTGCAATCACGAAACCAAACGATGAGTTGTCATTTGAACGACACTTCGTCAATACTGCTTGTTGAATAATACTAAGCCTAAGCATAAAAAGGCCTCAAAGCAGTCTTTGACCAAAACCATGATGAAAAGAGGTCCGTCAATTGGTAGACAGGGTTCCATCATTTGGAATTCCACTTCATTGACCAAAAAAGGTTAAGTTAGTAGTGGTTAAGGCGTTTATTAAATACTTGTTGTGTCACGGAATTTTTTATTCGGACAAGACTCTGTGCGGAACTTGACGGTTTACTCACGAATCTTTCACGTTCTTGCAAATTCAAGTAAGCCTCTAACTCGGATCGCTAAGAAAATAAGAAGAAAGACAGAATTTCGGAGTAAAGGGACTTCTATTAGTTGTTGTATTATTGGATGCTTTACAAATTAAATGATCCTACTATTTATACCACTCTAATGCCTAAGAGTAAATGCTGATTTACAAGTCCTTAAGTACATGCTTCATATCCCTAGAAGAGGTCTCTACTACTTATGAAAAAAGGCTCCTAGAATCCTTCTAGTCTGCCTCAAAATCTGCCCCCAAGGTCTCCTCCAAGTCTCTAGGACATCCTAGAGTCTGCTGCAAGCCTCTCCAAGTCCCTTGGGTCGCTTGGGCTACTGCCTGCCTGCTTTGGGCCACCTGCCCTCTCAGAATGCTGCAAACTTGGGCCTGCTCCACCAGGCTGCTGCGAGTTGGGCTGGAAATGTGGCAGGATGTCACAATCTCCCCCACCTAATGATGTGACGACCGCGACGCATCGCTGTAAAAACAACTGACATTTGTTCTTGAACTGCCACAAATCTTCGTACTTTTCCCATGTGGCTTCTTCAGGAGTCTGTCCTTTCCAATGTACGGGGAACATAAAGTTGGCTTGTTGTTCTCGTTTCCGTTTGGCTTTGTAATCTATGATGGCTTCAATCTCCCGATCATGCGACGTAGTGATAGTGATAGGGGCCCATTGCGATTTATTCTGGCTAGGATCATCCTTATCTTCATGATAAGTCTTAAGGACGCTTGCATGAAAGACCGGGTGGATCTTCAAGTGTGGAGGCAACTCCAACTTGTATAGAATTTTGCCCACCTTTACAACAATCTTTAACGGACCCACATACTTACGCACTAAATTATGATGGACGCTTCTTTGTGCCTTAAATTGCCTTGGATTGAACATAACAAAAACCATGTCGCCTTCCTTGAAATCCTTGGGACGATGCTTGCGGTCGGCTAACTTTTTCATTCTCTTTTTCTACCTTATCCAAATAAGACTTGGCAGTGTAAAGTTGTTCCTCCCAACCCTTGGCGAGATGGTAAGCACCCAAGCTATTCCCCTCAAACGAAGTTGGTAGTGAATGGGGAGTTTGGGGTTGCTGACCTGTTGCCAGCTCGAATGGTGTGCTCCCAGTAGACTCGCTCTTCTGCAAATTATAAGAAAATTGTGCCATGTCTTAGAGCTTAGCCCAATCTTTCTGGTGCGCACTAACATAGTGCCTAAGATAGCACTCCAACAAGGCGTTGACGCGCTCCGTCTGGCCGTTAGTTTTGGGGTGGAAACTTGTGGAAAAGTGAAGTCTTGAACCAAGAATTTCAAAAAGTTCATTCCAAAAGTTCCCAGTGAAATGAGGATCCCGATCGCTGGTGATGAACCTTGGAAGCCCCCAATACTTCACTACATTTTTAAAGAATAGTTGTGCAGCTTCATTGGCAGTGCAACCGGCTGTGGCTGGCATAAAGGTAGCATATTTAGAAAATCTATCTACCACAACCATAATGGTGCCAAATCCATTTGTCTTCGGTAATAAAGCGATGAAGTCCATAGTGATGCTTTCCCATGGACGATCTGCTACGGGAAGTGGCTCCAACAGCCCTCCTGGTTGCCTTTGCTCCACCTTGTCTTGTTGGCACACAAGACAAGTCTCCACATAACTCTCAATATCGTCCCGCATACGTGGCCAGAAGTAAAGAGCTTCAACCAACGCCCTCGCCCCCGGAGTATCGTTGCTCTCCTTCACAATCTACCGTCTGATTGAGACGAACTTTGGTACATAAATTCACCGGCCAGTGGTAAGCAAGAATCCATCTTCTACCCAAAAACGCCTGGTTTGGCCTTGGGCAGCCAGTTCCATTATCTTCCTGGCTTCCCGATCGGGTTGCATACCATCTTTGATTGTGCACTGTAAGTCACAACGAGCTGAAGAGATAGCCGCTAGATCATTCTTCCTGCTCAATGCATCGGCCACTACATTGCCCCTTCCTGGTTTGTATTCCAAGATATAGTCAAATTCTGCCAAGAAGTCATGCCATCAAGCCTACTTTAGTGTGATCTTCTTTTGTGACTGAAAATATCTAGTGGCAACGTTGTCGGTTTTCACCACAAATTTTGAGCCTAGTAGATAGTGTCTCCTTGTGAGTAGACAATGCACAATGTCCGTCATCTCGTTCTCCTGCACAGTGTACCGTCGTTCAGCTTCATTTAACTTCTGGATTTCAAATGCTATGGGGTGTCTCTCCTGCATCAAGACTCCCCTAATGGAAAAATCAGAAGCATCCGTATGAATCTCGAAGGTCTTGGTGAAATCGGGCAGCATCAAAACTGGCTCTTCAGTAACTGCAGTCTTAAGACCTTCGAATGCCTCCTGGCGCTCCTCGCTCCACACCCATGGCCTGTTCTTCTTCAGCAGTTCAGTCAGTGGGGCAGCTTTAACCGAGTATCCACTAATGAACCCGATAATAATTTGCAACTCCAAGAAATGAACGCAGCTCGGTCACCTAGGTAGGTGCTTCCCAATCTTGGATCGCCTTTACCTTTGCCTCGTCCATCCGAAGTTCATTTTGGCTGATCACATGGCCCAAGATGTGTATCTTGGGTTGTGCAAACTCGCACTTCTCCCTGTTGACATAAAGCTGATTTTCCCGCAAGATCTTAAAGACTTTCTTCAAGTGCTCCACATGTTCCTCCAAAGTGTTAATGTAGACGACTATGTCATCTAAGTACACTACTACGAACTAATCCAAGTAGGGGATGTAGAATTTCATTCATGAGTGTGCAAAAGGTGGCAGCGGCGTTGGTTAAGCCGAAAGGCATCACCAACCATTCGAATGCTCCGCACCTAGTTACGCATGTTGTCTTTGGTTCATCCCCGTCTGCGATGCGCACTTGATAGTAGCTTTTCCGAAGATCCATCTTGGTAAAGTACTTGGCATGCCCAAGACGGTCAAATAAATCTTCAATAAGCGGGATCGGATATTTGTTCCTAATTGTGATCTTATTGAGCGCCCTATAGTCAATGCATAGGCGCATCGACCCATCTTTCTTCTATTGGAACAACACAGGCTCACCATAAGGTGCCTTTAATGGACGAATGTTACCTGCTTCGAGGAGCTCTTTCAACTGCTTCCTCAGTTTCTCTAACTCAGGCGGAGCCATGCGTTAAGGTGCACACGCAGGTGGCTTGGGTCCAGCATCCAACTCTATCATGTGGTCTACTTGGCGCCTTAGAGGTAGTGTTTTCGGAAGCTCCTTCGGCATCACATCACTGTTTTCCTCCAAAACAGTTTCTATGATTGGTGGCAAGGGCTCCATAGCACCATGGTCTTCATCCGAACTTGCCATGGTGGCTAAGAAGGTCGGTGCTCCTTTCTTCAGGCCCTTCAAAATATGCATGGACGATAATTGAGCATGTTCATCTTTCTTTGGCACCTTTACAAGAGGTACCATGCATGATTTTCCTCCTTCCAAAACCATGAGTTGTTGAAGGTAGGGATCAATCATTGTGTGGCAATGTTGAAAGAATTCCAGCCCATGAATAATGTCGAAAATGTCCAAAGGAGCAACGGTAAAATTTATTTTACCGTGCCATTTTCCTAAGGTGATGCTGACCTCATGAGCGATCTTGCATACGGGAGTTGGTGGAGCGTTAACCGTCTTGATGCGATTGTTATTTGGAACAAATTTTAGTCCCAATTTTTCGGCCATCATTTTGGTCATGATGTTTGCTTCTGCACCAGAATCCACCATGGCTCGAGCTGGCTGCCCGTTGATGGAGATGTCCACATACTGCATCCTGCAGTCTCTTGGCTTATCGGTCTGTTTGGCTATGGCACCACACAAACTAACCATGCCTAACTGGGTTGTGTCTGCCGATTTCGCCTTCTCTTGTGCCTCCTTTTCCTTTCGTTTATGTGTGATGGCACCATGGCTCTTCATCTCCGGGCACCTAGCATAATCGTGTGGTCCGCCGGATATATAGAACCCGTCTCCTTTGCTGGACGGCGTCCGCTTCTCCGAGTACTTTTGGCATTCAAACCATTTGCCATCCAGTTTGGGCGTGTCACGCTGTTTGAGATGTGTCGGCTGTTCTTTGCCTCGGCCATGTTCTTCCCCACCATTAGCATGACTGCCCCTTGCTTCCTTGCTCTTCGCCTTGTCCAAATGATCATGTTTGAAACCTGTTAAGGTTTCAGCTTGAGTAATAGCTTCGTCAATGGTCTTTACTTGACGCCTCTCTAACTCTGTCCTTGCCCAATTGTGCAGCCCATCCATGAAAGTGAAATGCATGTCATCATCTGTGAGTTGGGGAATTCGAAGGGTCAAGATTGTAAACTCCTTCACAAATTCCCGAATGCTTCCCGTCTGCTTCAACTCCCAGAGTTTACGCTTTACCTCATACACTGCATTATTGGGGAAGAAAGCTTTCTTAAATTCCTCCCGGAATTGATCCCATATGTCGATGGTAGTTGTGCCCCTCTCAATCTCGGCATCCTTCCGTTTCCACCACAACATGGCTACATCGGAAAGATACAACACTGCAGTGTTGATCTTGTTTGCATCACTCCTAACCCGATTACACTTGAAATAGTTCTCCAAGTGCTTAAGGAAATTTCCCACCTCCAAAGCGGCGCGGACACCTTTAAATATTAGTCGCTTTGGAACCTCGACTCTGGTCTACCTTTCCTTGACAAGTGATGTTGATCCTCCAACGTCCCTCTCTTCCTCGAGATTCTCCACCTTGTTCTTCAGTACCTCGATCGTCTCAAGGGCGTTAAAGCATCTATATTTCAAGGAATTAATGGTTTCCTACATTGCTAATTTGGACCGTTTGCGTACCTCCAACTCCTTACGGATGTGGTCAATTTCCTCAAGAGAGTGGTCTTCATGGGCTTTGAAGTCTCTGTCCACCCCGTTCAAACGTCGGCCCAAAATCTCAATGGCCGGGTCAACTATTTCTACCCTTGCAATCAACTCTTCTCCGACAGTAACGTCCACGCCGTTCTCACCGTTATTGTCTTCACTCCCATCGATAATTGTGGGCGGGTGAGATGTTTGTCCATCCCTTGGTGGGGGATCGGCTACAATTGCTTCATTCCCCTTCGACTGCTTCTTCCATTTCTTGTTTTTCTTTCTTCCATCTGGGCGGACGTTGGTCGTGGTGCTGGTTCCGATACTCTCTCATTCGTTAGTCATTTTTTTACGATAAACCGGCTCTGATACAACTTTTCACGGACTTTTTTATTCGGACAAGACTCCGTGCGGAACTTGACGGTTTACTCACGAATATTTCACGTTCTTGCAAACTCAAGTAAGCCTCTAATTCGGATCGCTATGAAAATAAGAAGAAAGACAAAATTTTTGAATAAAGGGACTTCTATTACTTGTTGGATTATTGGATGCTTTACAAATGAAATGATCCTACTATTTATACTACTCAAATGACTAAGAGTAAATGCTGATTTACAAGTCCCTAAGTACATGCTTCATATCCCTAGAAGAAGTCTCTACTACATCCGAAAAAAGGCTCCTAGAATCCTTCTAGTCTGCCTCAAAATCTGCCCCCAAGGTCTGCTCCAAGTATCTAGGATGTCCTAATGTCTGCTGCAAGCCTCTCCAAGTCCCTTGGGTCGCTTGGGCTGTTGCCTGCCTGCTTTGGGCCGTCTGGGCTGCTGCCTGCCTTCTCAGAATGCTGCAAACTTGGTCCTGCCCCAACAGGCGGGCTGGAAATGTGGCAGGATGTCACACTAAGCACAAAAATGCCTCAAAGTAGTCTTTGACCAAAACCATGATGAAAAGTACGGTCCGTCGATTTCTCTACGCGCCGTAGACGGGGTTCCATCATTTGGAATTCCTGTTCATTGCCCAAAAATGTTTAAGTTAGGAGTGGTTAGGGAATTTATTAAATAATTAATTATGGTTTAAGGGTGGTTAAATTAGTCTTTCTAGGGACTATAAAAGTGTTTAAACTTATTAAACTAACAAAACTCCTCTAAATTCCCAAAAACCACCTAGCTCCAACTTTTCTCTAGTTTCTCTCTCCCAACTCAAACTTCTATTAAAGAAACTCTAGAGCTTAAAGAACAGACGAATTCACAAAGTAATTGAAATAAGATTCGTGGAAAATAATCCTTGAGATAGGTTCATAAACTCTTGGGGTTCTTTGCCCAAGAGGTT